TGCGTTGACTTAGTTGCCTCTATCAATCATGAACTCTCCAGCTATCATAAATCTCTCTCAAGCAATTATGATAATTTACTAGACGCACTCTCTCAAGCTACGCTAGCTAGATTCACATTACAGTTCACTTAGATTGCACCCGAGGTATCGTTATCTCTAATCCAACCTCTACACCCTCGGTTATGACTCTCGTCTATACTTCGGGAGTGATGTTGTTCAAACAACTACCTAAATATGCACTCTCTCTCAAGTAGATACATAATAAATAGGCACAGCTAATTGAGGGCCCTTCAATCAACTACAACAAGAATGTAGTTGAACAAATAGAGATTAACAACCAATCAAAACTATATTAACATCACAATAAATTCATCCCCAACGGGTTCCACCAAAACCTTAGATTAGAAAAGTTAGCTACTCATGAAAATAACAAAAATCATAAAAGAATTCATATTCAAAGGTAAAAGAACAATGAAGAAGATTAAAGATTGATGCCCAATGATCTTCCTTGCCTCTTGCCCTTTCTTCTGATGCTTTTCACTTCCAAAAATCATTCTCCCCTTTCTTGGCCGGCTTCCTTTGTTTAATATAGGGTTTAGGGCTTAAAATCCCGTATTTTGCACTTTGGTCCTTGATGTTTACGCGTCCTGCCGCGGTCCTACCGCGGTTACGCCAGGACCGCGGCTAGAGTGGCCTTCAAAATCTGCAGCAGTGTTCTGCCGCGGTCATACCGCGGTTACGCCCGGACAACAGCAGACCAGCTTCAGTTCTGGTTTTGTCCCTTCACTTGGTGCACTTTGTGGATATTGTATGATTGGCCTTCTTTTCTCCGTAATTGATCCCAAAAGTACTCCATAGACTTCTTTTATTGGATATAGCCTGCAAAGCATGAAAAGCACTAATCAGAGCATTTTGTTATCACTTTTTACCGTAAAAGCTAAATAAAAATTTGGTTCTTTAGGGCCTAATTATAGTCTAATTTACCTATTATCACGGCTTATAGTACTTGTTGACATGGTTCATTTCTAGCTGTAATAACTCTTTTCTACCATTAATAATGATGTTTCCGTCACGTTAAAATACAAGGTCCGCCTCTCACAAGAGATAAATCAGTTCTCATCTGTTCCAAGTCTTGCTTTCTCTTTTCCTAATACCCCAATATAATAAAAAAGATTTCCTACAAATAAAGGAGAGAAAAAATACGAAGACGGTTGATTTTCTTTTTTCCTCCTTATATAAGTTTAGAAAAATTATTAAATTCTTTTTTGTAATAAAAAATTACTCAATTTTACTTAAGTATCGTAGAAAATGTCTCTTTTGTTTATTCCTAGTGACTTTTATGATGCTTAGAAAACAAAAACTATTTTTTTTTTTGTTACAGAAAATAGCTTATGTGACTTTTGTGATACATTAATACCTAGGTAAAGTTGAGTTACTTTTTGAAGTACAAAAAATAAGTTAGTAATTTTTGGTATAATAAAGTAAAAATTGAGTAATTATTCATGAATTAAACCCAAAAATTCAAATATGTGATTCCTACTTTTTTGTCCACCGGGGAAGAAAAAGAGTACAATATTACTTTTTGTCAACCTAGAGAAATTCACTTTATATCCATTCTGCTGTATTCGAATCTATTTGATAAACCTAACAGTAAAAATACAATATTATTGATGGATGAAGATTTTATTCAAACCGACATATTTGCATTTGATCCTACACTAGGTGGGATATTTTTTGGAACAATGGTGGGTCTAAAGAGTATTATAATTGAACTTTAGCCCAGCCCGTGGTATGGTATGATATGATATGGTACAATTTGAAAACTTCAATACGGTAATTTTAGTTTTCGATTTTTTAAGTACAATATGATACCAAGTTAATTAATTTGGTATAGTTCGATGATTTTAAGTTTGATTTCGGTAATTTATGATACGGAAAGTTAGTAATCACGGTTGTTCGACTTAAACTAAAGTCAATTGAACGAATAAAGGCAATAATGACACGCTCATAATCAGAGGCGGACCTACAGTGGAGGGTGCAGGATTATCGAACCCGTTAGGCTCGGTAAAAGCCATGTATATATAGATTTTATATGTATTGTATATCCAGATAGGACCCCTTAAATAATTTACTTGGGCCCCCTGACAAACACAAGTTGGACGACGACAATAGTAGTTGAGCTGCTAGTTTAAGCACCTTTCCAGCTTTCCTTACCATTCGGTCTAGTGTTCGAGACCAAGTACAAGCAGAATTAGCATTTTTTTTTTCTTTCCTCTTTTGTTTTCTTTTAGATTTTTGGATTCCATGATAGTTTCTGTCCTTTAACCTTGCAGGTTTCCAAACCTTGGCCTCTTACGCAAAACTGAAGGCTTCATTACAGACCTAGTAAACCAGTTTTGTCAAAATATTTTATAACAAAACACTGATAACAATAGCCTTTTTTAGCTTCTAGGGTCTATTTCTTAGTTCAAGATCCCTCTTCTAGGGTTTATGAAAATTTTCCATCAAAGAATTAGTAGATCTGTTCCGCCCAAAATGAGAATGGGCCTTTGCTTAGTGGTTTTTCTTTCTTTACAAATTTTTGGTTGTTTATATATTGCGGACAAGTTGTCATACTTGTTAGTTTCTTAAAGAACTGCACACAAAATTTTATCGTTAATTATTGGCATATTTAAGGTTAGTGGTGCCCGCCCTCGTCGCGCTTAAATTCTGGGTTCGCCTCTGCTCATATGTACAAATGGTGTATATTTGTTTTTCTAGATAAAGGCCTCCAAGAACGAACAACATTGTGAAAACATATGAGTACTACAGACAAAACTCTCGTGCAATATTTTTTAACGTTATCAGAGGCAGATAAGCATGTGTTCCAAATAGAACACTAGTACCGGTGGCCATATCTATCTATGACTGATCTTCCCTACACTTTGTCGAAATTGAACAATTATATCAGCCAAAAGTTCTATATAAAACTAGACGAGTTAAAGAGTTGCTAGAAGCAATTTAAAGGTACAAAAAGGTTAAGTAATACCGAACAATTTTAATATTCTCTAATCAAATATATATCTATATAAAGATGAATTAGTTATTTTCAGTACGGTATTCAGTATTTTAGTATCTTTTTTATAAATATATATCGAATAACATAACGAATGCCAAATTTTTTAAAATACAAAACAAATACCGTATTGAATACCAACATACAAATACCAATGTCTTAAATTTTTTGATTTCAGCATGGTAATTCGATATTTACCAAAGTACAGACAACCTTGCTCCACGCAGGGGCGTATCTAGAGTACAGTGTATGGGTTCCCGGGAACCCAGTAAATTTACTAAATATCTATAAATATCTAACGGTGAACCCAGTTATTATAGTATATTAATTTGAGATTGCGACAGGAACCCATAAACTTCAAATTCTGGATCCGCCTCTGGCGCCACGAGTATGAGTAATAGTGACCACTTGTAAAAAAGGCTGCTCATTTTATAAAATTTTATAAATATGCATGATTTTAACTCTTAGCAGAAGCGACTATTCTGGGAAGAAAAAATATGGGATAGTGTATTGAAATCCTAGCAACTATCTACGAATATTTGGATGGATGGAATTATTCTGATTTTGAGTTCAAGCCTTTGAGTATAGAAAAACTTTTAATAAGTAACGGTTATTTTTTATTGAGTACAAATTCAGATAATCGAGCTAGTAGATACCAAATTCAGCTAAGTATATCAAAAAATATTGTTAACACCCTACCTATTCTTGCCTCTTGGTATTGCCATCCTTATATGGAAGGACAAGATTCAAATGCTTGAACTCGTGTTCAAATATCTCCCTACCAAAAATCAAGGGAGTGACATAACGTAAAGACAAAGTTTAAAACGTGATTCTTAAATTATTTTTAATAAAAAAACATTTTTCATCTCTTTGCGCTATTATTCTTAGGACGACTTCTATTTGTCGCCAATTTTCTTCCCCTTTTCTGGGATGTCACATATTAAAATAATGATACGAAAATATCGAAGTAGCTTTCATATCCTGCAACTAGATTTCATGTTTTTTGTCCCATGCCGGAAATTCATGCCTTGCCTCACTTTAGGGGTTTACTTAGTGAAAAATTAGTCAACAAAAAAGATTAACAATAGCAATTATGCATAATCATAAGAGTCAAAGATAGATTAATTAAAAAATATCAACTGAAAAACGAATATGTCTTTGCTAGTGGTTTCAGCAACATATTCATTTTCTATCCTACCTTAGTTGAAGACATTTTTCTGTTCATCTAGCATGCTTAATTTATTTTAAGTAGCAGTTGAAATTGCACTTATATTCCAATTGGACCTGGCTATTATTTCTAATTTCATACTTCTAAGTTCTAATCATTGTCAATTAACTCTCTCCATCTCAACCGTCAGAACCCCAAAAGGCACAAATAAAAATAATATACAAAATGCACAAATAATTGGCAATTGTCAACAGGATATGTGCTTATTATGAATATTATAAATCTTTTCTTGATTTGGAGTTACATTGCAAAATATCTTTATAACTGACAATATACTAACCATACAAAATATAGGTGTTGGTTACCTTTGGTCAATAGTAGATGGTATTACCCAAGTTTCGATAATCCAAGGTTTTACAATATAAGTATGCTGTTAATGAGTATGAAAGATAGTTCAAGGACTTGCTTTCACTAAAGAATTTAAGTGCAAGGTTTCGGTTATTGGTTTACTTCATCATGCAATACTTTTTAACTTTTTCTAATCAGGATTTAAGAATGTTTACGCCACTAATCGGTGAAAATCAAAACTATCCATATTTATAAGGTCAATCTGACCATTTTAGTTGTGTACAAGCTCACAGTTCAATGAGATTTACATCTAATAGGAGTACCTCCTAAATAAGGTCAAAGGGTGCATTTTTCTTGTAACTACTAGGAATTAAATACAAAAAGAAAGTGCATGCTCTAAAACAAAATTGGAACATTAGGAGTAAGAAGTAGAAAAGACAAAAAGATAATCAAACAGCGACTTGAACTAGCAGTCAAGCCAGCGTATAAGGGGACACAGAATAAATACAAGGAACAATCTGTAGGTAACATCCTGGATAATCACTCTCTTTTATGGCACCTCGCGAAAAAATAGATAGAAAGCAAATATATAGAACTAGTAGTAAAGCATCAAAGATTTTCGTATTCTTCATCAATAGCAACCAGCTAGGATTGAACTGGAGAGGACCACTAACTCTAAGAAAGCAAATGCAGACACAGTTCATAACTGGCATGGCAAAAGCCCAAAAGAGGTCAAACTGAAAGGGAAAAGTGCAATAATGTGAGGCAACTTAGATAAGAGATCAAAGCATTCGTAAATGAGTCAGACTTGAATGAATGCAATAATATGCTTCCTGTCACACCTTGATCCTTAAACATACAGCTGTAGATTTACCTTGCATATTAAAGTACTTCAGTGCGAGGAGAATAATCTACCTTGCATATGAACCCTGCGATGAAAAGATGGATAACTATGAATTCTGGTAGCATTTACACTACAAGAGTACAACAGTGACATATAGACGAGGGCGAAACAAAATCAAACAGGGAGGTTGAAATTTGAACTTTCAGCTAATTTATACGGAAGATCTTGCAGCAGAGTTCGACAATATCCTTGTTGTCTCATGGACTTCTATGCATTTTGCTGCAACAGTCATAGTGCCTGCTGCACAAATCAAGTATTTACACCAGTTCACAAGTATGCAATTCATCAAAAAACTGCCTCCAGAAAGCTCTTTAATCTTAAACAAGAACAGAAGTTTAAGAATCAAAATTCATTTACTCAACCAAATGTGTTAGTTACATAACCCTTCCAATTTGAGTGATTAAGCAATGACACGTAAACGCATAAAGTAGGCTCTTTGATCTTGAGTTAACAATTCCACTCATTTGGGTTCGTCTTGCCAATACTGAGATCAAGGCAAGAATTCCCTCCTGCCAAAATTCCCCCTAACCCAAAAAAGAAAACGACTTGACTCCAAATTAGTGAAATGATGGTAAATTCTTAAATTTTAATGGATGATCCTTTCTGAAATATGCTTCACTGTGACCAGCATAAATGGCACAACTAACCCCAGTGTGAGGACAAACTTCCTATAATATGAAGCCGGTTGAAAAGAGAAATCTTGGACATTCCGTCAAAAGCGAAGTAACACCTGCAGTTTATCAGGTCTCCTCTTCTATGAGCTGTATAGTTCTTCAACACTTAATCAAAGACACCAAATTCCAGTTAATTTGTCTCCTTTTGGAACAATCTTTAGTTTTTCTTTATGGATCTCACTTTCATGCTAAAGAAATAAACATTAACAAAGAAATGTCTTCTAGTTTCATTTAGTTTTTCATTGATCCAAATATTCATTACTTTTCCTTAACGAGGAAAACCAGATTTATTTACAGAAGAGATCTGACACATCTATTGTCAAGTGAAATATTTGCACATTTTTTTAAGCTAATAGAGAAACACCATTGTGTTGGTACGGTTTAGGTTTGTGTTACACATTGCTTTAAAGCACCAATAGTAGAACCATGCAACATGAGAGATTATTATCATAGGCCAAAAAGCAGTAGGTTGTTGTACAGTTTGTCATTAATCACATAATTTCATTTGTGAGAGGCAGAGAGAGTGAGCGGCAGCAAGATAGAGAGAGAGAGGAGGGGGGGGGGGGGGGTAGGAGTCAGAGAATTAAAGAACAGTTGATGGCATTTGTGGAAGCTGGAGAGAGAGAGAGAGAGAAGGCATGGATGGATACGGAGTTGACGAAAGAGGAGGAAGAAGGTTAAACAGTAAATTGTCTTTTTGAAGAGATTCTTAGCAAAGGAACTTGAAGACCCAAGATCAGCAAATCCATACTACACCCTGCTTTTCATTTTAAGCAAAAACGACTAAAAGGATGCCTGGATTTTTCTTGAAATTGACTCTTGCCATGCAAAGTCTTGAGCCTAAATTTTTCAAGGTAACAAATAGCTCTAATTTTCAGCATTTTCTACTAGAATGAAAATGGACCAGCAAAAATGTACCCACAACAAAACACATTGCAAGAGACACGTTCCTTCCTCAAATTTTTTGTATTGATACTCATATCTCTAAACAGGAAGAAGAGGTCTGCTCGTGGTAGCCCGACGATCAGGTGGGGAGTCTTAACTAAAAATAAAGATCTGGAGGGGAGGCTATCGTCCATGGGAGCCTGGAGGAGTAGTGGGGACGCGAGCGCTATATGGACGATGACAGCAAATTGTGTAAGGGAGGCGGCAAGAGAGGTGCTAGGGGTCTCGAAGGGTTTCTCTGGCAGGCATGAAGGCGACTGGTGGTGAAATGGAGAGGTCCAAGGCAAAATGGAAGCGAAGAAGGCAGCGTACCTAAGGTAGTAGGGAGCACAAGCGAGGAGGAGATGAGAGCGAACCGAGAGAGGCATAAGGTAGCGAGGAAGGAGGCAAAGTTGGCGGTTACAGAGGCTAAGGCGGCGTTTGGTCGTCCGTACGAGGAACTGGGGAAAAGGCAGGGATAATAAGTTATTTCGGCTGGCTAAGGCGAGAGAGAGGAAGGCTCGGGACCTGGACCAAGTGAGGTGCATCAAAGACGAGGACGGTAGAGTGTTGATGGGGGAGGCTCAGATTAAGCAAAGATGGAAGACTTACTTTCATGGACTTCTGAATGATGAGAGGGACAGGGATATTGTGCTAGGTGATCTGGGGCATTCAGAGAGTTTCCAAGACTTTAGGTATTGTAGGGGCATTAAGGTCAAGGAGGTCGTGGGGGCTATGCGTAAGATGAGCATGAGAGCGACCGGGCCAGACGAAATTCCGATCGCGTTTTGGAGGTGTGTGGGTAGAGCAGGCTAGGAGTACCTGACTGGGCTGTTCAATGTTATTTTCAGGAAGAAGAGGATGCCGGACGAGTGGAGGTGGAGTACGGTGGTACCATTGTACAAGAACAAAGGTGATATCCAGTGTTGTAACAACTATAGGGGTATCAAGTTACTTAATCATACCATGAATGTTTGGGAGAGGGTGGTGTAAGTAAGGGTGAGGAGGACTGTGTCTATATCTGACAACCAGTTCGGGTTCATGCCTGGTCGATCGACTAAGGAAGCTATCCACCTTACTAGGAGGTTGGTGGAACATTACAGGGATAGGAAGAAGGATCTGCACATGGTGTTTATTAACCTGGAGAAAGCATATGACAAGGTCCCTAAAAAGGTTCTCTAGAGATGCCTGGAGGCAAAAGGTGTGCCGATAGCTTACATTAGGGCGATCATGGACATGTATGATGGAGCTAAGACTCGGGTTAGGACAGTGGGAGGCGACTCGAAGCATTTCCCGGTTGTTATGGGGTTACATCAAGGATATGCGCTCAGCCCGTTCTTATTTGCCCTGGTGATGGACGCACTGACACACCACATTCAAGGGGAGGTGCCATGGTGTATGTTATTCGCTGACGACATAGTCTAGATTGATGAGACACGAGGCGATCTTAACGACATGCTGGAGGTTTGGAGGCACACCCTTGAGTCTAAGGGTTTCAAGTTGAGCAGGACTAAGACAGAATATCTGGAATGCAAGTTCTGCGCCAAGTCGGGGGAAATGGGCATGGACGTGAGGCTTGGAGCACAGGTCATCCCCAAGAGAACTAGCGTTAAGTACTTGGGGTCGATTATCCAGGGGGAAGAGAGATTGATGAGGACGTCACACACCGTATAAGGGTGGGGTGGATAAAATGGAGGTTAGCATCAGGAGTCCTGTGTGACAAGAGAGTGCTACCGTTAATCAAAGGTAAGTTCTATAGAGTTATGGTTAGACCGGCCATGTTGTATGGGGCAGAGTGTTGGCCGGTTAAGAACTCTCATATCCAGAAGATGAAAGTGGCAGAGATGAGGATGTTGAGGTGGATGTGCGGGCATACTAGGATGGATAAGATTAGGAATGAAGTTATTCGGGAGAAGGTGGGCGTGGCTCCTATTGATGACAAGATGCGGGAAGCAAGGCTCAGATATTTCGGGCACGTGCGGAGGAGGAGCCCTGATGCTCCAGTTAGGAGGTGCGAGAGTTTGCCCTGGCGAGGTAGAGGGCGGCCTAAAAAGTATTGGGGAGAGGTGATTAGACAGGACATGGCGTTGGTGCATATTTCCGAGGACATGACCCTTGATAGGAAGGTGCGGAGGTCGAGCATTGGGGTTGTAGGTTAGGACGTAGTCGAGTCCAGGGGTGAGGCTAGTTCGATATAGGTGGTCTTAGATTGCTAGGGGTTTATGCAGTATTCTCCATATCCCTACGTTTTCATAGCATCGGGCTTATTTTCTGGTTTTGTTATTGCATTTCAACTATTTTCTAGTTCTTATGATGCTAATATTATTTCTTTGGTTTCTGTTTGATGGTACTAATCTATGTTGCTCGGACTCTTCAAAAATTTTGTTGGGTGTATGTCGGAACCTCCAAATTTAGTGCATATTTGGAGGATCCGACAAGGGTGCGGCAGCACTTTTGGAGAGTCCGAGCAACATAGGTACTAATATATTGTCATTTCCCTCTTCTTCTCGTCTTTTCCATCTTCTTGAGCCGAGGGTCTTTCGGAAACAGCCTCTCTACTCCTTCGGGGTAGGGGTAAGGTCTGCGTATACACTACCTCAGACTCCACTTGTGAGATTTTACTGGGTCGTTGTTGTTGTTACTTATATCTCTAAACATAAATGGGATGATTAGATTAACAGTGAGATATTTTTTTCCTTTTGGATTTGATAAATTGAGGTCATTTTGAAAGAATGGAGCATGATTAGGATCCTCCATTCACCTTTCGGTGCTTATACCATGAAAAACAAACTGCCACCTGTATCTTGTATACATCTTCGATTGACAGAATCAAGGATACAAAAAAGAGAGAGAAATCAGTTTGTGCAATTATAAAGAAAGCCAAAGTGCACTCCAATAGCCACTGAACTATAATTTTCAGGAATACGCCAAAGAGGCCATATTTTAAAAATGGTGATATCAGGGCAAATAGGCATGCACGTCGACTAGTTCACAAGTATCGGGTAACCCAATCCATCAAGGCTTGGATAGATGGGAAGAATTCACCTAATTTCACCTCTACTAAAATTTGAACTTTATTTACTCCAATTCTTCAGCCATTAGGCCACCCCCTTGGGGTAACAAGAGGCCATCTAATCCTATTCATTTCACAACTTTCCAGATTGCAGCAGCACATAAGATGCAAATTCATACTCAACATACTATGCATCTATTTTTTATGATCTCATCTTTGGCTCCTCAATCCATGACCATTACTCATTCCACATGCCCCTAAAAATCCAACCAAATAAACCCAAAAATAAAAAGGAGAAGAAAAAGCAGAGAGCAACAAAGTCAATGAGAACACTACCCTGAAACTTAGGAATTGATCTGAAAAATGTGCAATGTGTAAAGCCTCAAACAATCGGTAAGCTCCTTGAAATGAGAATGGTTACCCTATTTCCGTTGCTAATGGTGGACGTCCCAGAACAGACTTTGACGGAAATTAGTTGGGAAGGCGGACAACATCACGCTCTAGTGTTTCGGTTGTAATACTCTTGAAGCAAAGAATCAATTTTATCTTTGGCTTGTGCTTTCCTTATCAGGAGTTTAACAGAGAAGAAAACAGATGCATAAGGGGCAGGTAAGTAGAGGCACATTGATGTGCTGAAAACGTGGCTGCACACCAGGAGAGTTACGAGAGTAGGGAGCCGAGACATGCTTATATGATTAAGGGATGAGGAATTTTCGTTTATCACCCCTAGTCTCCTCATGTCCTTCTCGAGTCCGTTACCTCGTGAAACCAAAATGACTTGAACATATTCTTTGCTGTTCTTATCATAGCAGATTAGAATACAACGAGGCCAAACACTTCAATTTCCTGCTTCATTATTGATTCCTAGATTTCACCTAAACTAAAAATGGGATATTCCAGGACCAAATTAATAGTACTATGAACTAATGAGAATTAAGACAAGTAAATGAGATATATTGAAGACTTGGAGATTTGAACAAGTACAAAGTGTTATACATAGACAAGTAAAAATATTTTTCCAGTGTGAAAATATCCATCACAGAACTCAACACTTCAAATTAATACTAATACTTATACACGTTTACCTCAAACAAAAAGTGGAGAAACTAACTTGAGTTTGCTTATTATTGAAATAGAGAAAGTAAATATCGCTGGAAATCGTGTGTGAAAGTTGTTGGAGAAGTCATGGTGGATGAGATCTTGCTAGGAAAATTGTTGCAAGAATATTGTTTGGAAAGAGGCACGCTGCATGGCTGGATGGTCAGTAGAAAGAGGCACCGCGCTACCAGAACGATCATTGAAGGAGGCATGACTCTGCCAAAACAATCATCGAGGAAAGGCATGAAGCCACTTGAATAATTCCTTGAAAAGAGGCAAGTCGCTGCTGAAGCGATTGCAGAGCAGTGGTACTGGAACGGTCACTAAAGAGGTGTGGTTCCCTGGAGCAATCGCTGAAAAGAGGCACAGTGCCGCCAAAGGGGTTGTGGGGCTGTCAAGACGAGGAAAGGTGCGAGAATGATCGCTGGACAGAGGCATGACGCGCTAGAGCAACTGCTAAAAAGAAGGGTGGTGATCCCATAATGATTACCAGAAAGAGGAAGCAATTAAAAAAACACGATTACCAGAAAGAAGAAACGAAGAAGAGAATTTTGCTAGGCGGAGGACCCTATCATTAGAAAGAAGAAGATCCTTTAGCCGGGCAGGCAGCGTAAGACCGCGGGTAGGCAGGAATTGCTTGAAACTTTATAAAGATCGTATCGAATTTGATATCACTTATCAAAATAAGGGAAGTGCAAGAGATATATTGAAGGCTTGGTAATGTGATGGATACAAGGCATATCACTTTATAGGTGTTTAAGACAAGACACCTATGGTGTTAGTCCAACGTGGAAAAATATCTGACATAGAACCTAACACTTAAAGTTCAAACATTCTAACTCTTAACATTTCAGTTATAACAATTACCATTCTTAGAATGGATACAGTGTGGATAGAGTTACTCAATACATGCGCTGGTGGTGGAAGGTAGTAGGCACCCAGTGGATTGGTCAAAGCACGTTCAAGCTAACATGGACACCAACGTTATTTAAAGAGCACAAGGAATTTTAAAAAAGAAGGGAAGAAGATTCAACTCTCTGTCAGACAGGCCAACAGGTAATTGATCTTATTAACCATCTTAAAATCCCCTCCTAAAGGTCCTTGGGAGCATTAAGAGTGCAATGAAAATGGAAATTGCTTCCCTAAGAAATTGCCAGCAGTCCACAGTTTCTGGGAAGCATATCAGAACATAACAAGTTCTGTCCAGTTCCATAAATATTAAACGTTATAAATCAAATATTTCTGCTTCAACTAACAACTTATGATGAATAAGTCAAAAAATTTAATTTAATGCACACACTAGTTTTCCTCCTTTAAGGATATAAATAACAGACTGATGGATAAACTAACACCTAGAAGGGTGTTTTAGGCTTTTAGCACACGAAGATCAACAGCAGCATGAGTGATCACTTTTGCATAAATGCACTAGATTGTAACATTTCAATATAGACCCAAAAATACTGTCACACGTTTTGATTATGCTGCATGGAAGAAACAAATTACCTAGCCAACTAAAAGATAGTAAGATGCTTAGTATAGGAACTCCTAGTGAAATTTTGCCTTTAATCATCTATAGGCATGCAATATCATCAAGTTTGGGCATATATGATGAATTTATTATATATCTGGGAATTAATTTATTTAGGTTATTCATTGCAGCTCTATTTGCCCTTTGTTTGGAACATAGCTTTCCAGAAGCAATGACTTTGCCTCTTACAACTCAAGGATTCAGCGGCACAAACCAATAGAACGAGTCCCGTTCATGTAAGGTTGCAACAGTGATTATTTGGCGTTCTCATGATGGGACCTTACTTTTGGAATTTTCTTGTTAAAGTTCTGCATATATACCTTTTCTTTTGCTAGAACTCCAAAATAAATTTCTGCCCTTGTTTCTTTCTGTTACTGCAGGAAAAAGTGCTTTTATCCTTGTTTTAATCTAATTCAATCCATATTCAGGCAAAAATATATCAGCAATATAGATGCATCAAGCAGTTACGTCCTTTCTACAAGAAAAGCAATCAACTTTTTAGCTTACAATGGTTCCAATGATGAAAAGAAAGCTCCTTTGTCACCCTTCTCCCACATCCCACACCCCACACCTGCACTTGGATCCTATGAAAGGGAAAACACCTCCCTAAATTACAACAAAGAAACAAAAGAAGCTATCGGTGAGATTGCTAGAATATAATTTCAGCTAAAAAGTCAACTTACAGTTGAAAGAATGCAAAATTGAAGTTCTGAAACATCTCAGATTGGTAGCTCTCACTAGAGTAAATCACATCTTTGGTTCAAACCACAACGACCGGGTACGCCTTACTAGTCCATTTCAGCTGATATAGGTATAGCAGTGCAATAGTATGTTATCCCACATATACGTTTATCTTTAGAAATGCATATAAAACTACTAGTAGGAACAGCACCACATACCTCAGCAGCTAAAGATGCCTGCTAGGTCATGCATACATGCCATCCATCTTCTATCTTCAACATAAATCTTTGGCTTTATGCTTGTATCCACACTACTTAAGATACATCAACAACTATTCTAACATCAAATAACTGCTCGGAACCTTGACATAACTATTGACACTTGATTTTGATTCCATTTAATGATACTCTCCACTTGCCCGTCGCTAATGCGGACAAGAAATTTTTCACATATAAAAAGCAGTTACAGACTCATGGCTTGATTCCTAATTGAAGAAACTATATACCGACCATTTGTCTCCTTATTGAACCAAAAAACAATTGGATCACTTGTCTACTTCAACACAAAGATTTAGAATTTAGACAGGACATTGAAGCTTATAACATAGCATATACATTGATTTTGAGTGTGTATATATCAATGACATTCATATATTTACAAAGAGCCAAACATCCCAGCAGTTAAAGAAATTTTCTTTCTGCAACCTTTTATTGGATATATGGAGAGATTTCATAACCAAAATGCACATGAGAACATATAACTCAAGTAGTCACCATATGTAAATTCCATTTTCAGCATCCATACAGTAAAACACGGAAAGAACATCAATTGTCTCCTAATTCTATACCTACCAATCCAACTTCTTTTCAGTTGTCCGCTGACATTAACATAGCTTATAATAAAAGTATTTCAACACAGTCAACAAAAGGTATAAGATCATCAACTTAATTTTTGATTCACCAAAAGGATGAAAAGCTTTAATACAAAACTAAAATTGATTTCAGTTCAGTAATTGACCATATCATACAACACTTTTGTATACTGAAAGGCGCACTTATATGTACAAGCAGATATAAAATTAAAACACTGATTAAGGTATCTCATGGGTAGGAGTAGAAGCAGCAGAAACAGCGACAACAGCGCCTGAAGCAGCTACAGAACATATAGCGTGGCCGTGACCGGCGATTGCCGGTACCGGAGTTTGATGTGGAAACTGGCACAGCGTTGTCCATTGGACCTTTGTGTAGATGAATTCTTATTCAAATTCTCAATTTTCGTGAGAGTATTTGACGGCACGTTTTCTGTGTCCTGTTAGATTAATGTCCCACTATATATGCGCATTGTATAACATTTCCTTTTTTTCTAGAGCCGTAGGCAATGTTGGTGCAAAGAATATTTTGTATTGTTAAGAAATGGGACAACTTTTAGCCAAAATTATTCCTTATTTTTAGGATATGCTTAACTTAGTTCTCTAACTATAATAGTGAGCACTATATGTCCTCTAAGTTTCCAAAATTTGAGCATTTTTAGTCTTACTAATAGAGAACACCTACTTCCATTAAAAATCTAACAGAGACATAACATATGTTTTGCACATTATGCTTAAGCAGAAGAAGTTCCACTCTTTCAAGACCCTTCCTTCTCAAATCTATTCCTTTTATCTATACTACAATAGATATTTATCTCTATTATAGTAAGTAAAAAACCCTAGCCTTTTTTTATAATATTTTCAAGTCTTTACTACTTTGGCGATCCCACTATGATTATTAGAAAAAATAATAAAATAATATAGATATTCCTTCTTAATTTTTTTGTGAAATCTTTATTATTTTTACAATATTTTACTGATTTATGAAGTTCTATAATATAGTGGCACTAATCTCGAATTTTATATGTCATGCAATAGGTGAATAGTATAAAATAAATATTGTATGTGAACTCCATTCTTTATTCCATCATTTAGTGGTCCCAATACGTAACCATTATTAAGTAGTATTTTCTACTTTTGCATAGCCCATATAGTTGCAGTCCTTCTTTATGCCTGAATAATAGTTCAAATTTTTTTGTTTATGTAGATACTCTATCTGAAGCAGAATATTTTATTACTAAAATAATACATTGTGGTATAATTAATCACCTACAAGACATTATATTGGGACAGAATGAACTTTATTAACTATGCCAATGGGGTTAAATCAAAGTTGTTGGTATTCAAATCTATGGTAGAACTGTGTGATTATAGGAATGACTCGGTTATTTTTTGGTACAAGCGCGTGAGGTTAGGTGACAAAATGAGACTTGTTTCAACCGATGCTGAAGCCGTTGTTATTGTAAAAAAAAAAAAATCCAAGTTATCGTGTAGTTGAAGTGTACTTTGAACATTTGAATTCATATATAAAAATGGGTATTGAGGATGCTATCTACGAGGGACGAAGCAACTCAAGAAATGTAAATCATGCTACTTCTGGAGAACATCATAAAGAAGTTGGGATGAAAATTCTTCAAATAGTAAAGATTTTGAGATTCGAAAAATAACTTGTCAGATAAAAATATTTATCAAAAATAATTAGAAATGAGAAGCGTAAATATGAGGTTAGTGAAGAATTATAGACACAGTTGAATACTGAAAATGGGAAGTCAAATTGTTGCAACTCTGATGACACAAGGAGCTTACAAAGTCATTCAGCTAGAGAAAGTTTAAATTTAGTTCAACCCCGAAATATATCAAAAATACAAAACTGGCATTAGAGTTAACCTTTGGAAACAAGAGAGAGTTCATCGATGATATAATAAATTATTAAATTAGTCAAGAAAAATACATAAAATGGCTCAAAAATAACAACACACGAGTGAGAGTAGTTTGTACGAACTCAAATTGTGAATGGGAGATTATGGCTTCAAGAATGCACACGAATAAGGCATTTCAAACTAAGACATACCATAATTATCATAGTTGTAAAAAGATATAACTATAAGAACAAAATTATCACTTTCTCCTTTATTGCAAGAAGATATCATGATGCCATTAGCAAGTATAGAGATTGGAAAGTCAAGGAATTCAAAATCATGTGAGTGTGGAGCTAGGAGCTCATGTGACATTACATTAATATAGAAGAGCTAAGCAAAACGCGCTCAAAATGAGTGATATAGATTTAATTGCTCAATGCAAGGTACTGTAGAACTATTATAATGAAATTGGGAGGACAAATCAAAATACTTCTATCTATATGAAGTTGGTTAAAAATGAAGTTCCTAACAAATCTAATAGATTTCAAAGAATCTATGCTTGCTTTAGGGGGTGTAAGGAAGGGTTCAAGAGTAGTTGTAGAAGGATAGTTAGAGTGGATGGTTGATGGCTTAAGGGTCCAATAAATGGGACTTGATTATTGACAATTATTGAAATGGATCCTAATAATATCTTTTCAATAACATGTGTAATTGTGGAGAAGGAAAGACTTCGTTATTAAATTATTTGAAGCGTGACTTAGAGATCGATGATAATTATACTTGGACTTTTATGGCAGATAAGCAAAAAGATTTGATGGAAGCTTTTAATGAGGTGTTACTATTTGCTAGTCATAGATTTTGCATGACACACTTGCATAACAACTTTAAAAGGGCAGGATTTAGTGATATCTCGCTGAAGAATACATTTTGAAAAGTCATTGCCGGAGAGTTCATTACTAGATAGTATAGTGAATGGAACTATGAGATTATAAGGGCAAGCATACATGATTAAGTAGATTGTGGATTTGCTAAACAAAACATGCAGATGGGATCTAATATGAATTTCTTACAAGCATGCCATTGCTGCTATTTTGGGCTGAAAATGATAAGATTAATTCATGTGCTCATGATTCCTATATGGTAAAAATATATAGAAGTATCTAGAGCAGAGGATGGTCTGAAAAAAAGAGGAGCCTGTGGAGGAGCAGAAAAATAACGAAAATCAAGAATGTAAAGTGAGGGTAGATCCAGAGGATGGTCTGAAGAAGAAGAGGAAGACTATAACTTTGAAAAATGAGAGACTTTGGTTGTCAAGCTCACCGAACATTGTAGCGCAATTCTGCAAAATAAGCTCCCTCAAAAGTGTGGAGATTCAGGAAGTTTTATTATACCTTGCTCTCTAGGAAGTACTAACATTGAAAAATCTTTGTCTGATTCAGGTGTTTCTATTAATCTTATGCCCTTATCTATTTTCAAGAACCTTGAGAAAGGAATTGGAGCAATTAGATCTGTACATGTGTCTTTACAGCTGGCGGATTAAACCATAATAATACCCGAAGGAATAGTAAAAGATGTGCTAGTTTGGGTGAACAAATTTGTGTGCCATGTCGACTTCATCATGGTAAACATGGAAGTGAATAAGAAGGTCCATCTGATTCTAGGTAGACCCTTTTTGGCGACTGACAGCGTTACACTTGTCACACCTCCTTTTTCCTACACCCCCGGAAAGGGGTATAAGGGAGTTATTTCCAACTTAAAGTGACAATCAAAACGGAATTTATTTATTTAAAGATTCAGAGTCGCCACTTGGGATAATTTATGGTGTCCCAAGTTACCGGTTCAAATCCCGAATCGAGGAAAAGATTGACTCTGTTTTACAGTCCGCGAACACAGAAATGCAGGTAAGAATTTCTGTTAACCCGGGAGAAGGTGTTAAGCATTCCCGAGTTCCGTGGCTCTAGCACGGTCGCTCAACTGTTATAACTGGCACAATTATCAGATTTTAAAATATTTTGAACCTTTGTGCAATTTTAACCTTTTAACCGCTTTTATTTAATTAACTAAAGGAAGATTGCAACGTCATTGTCACGACCCAATTTAGGATTTGTGACCGGCGCTTAGGAGCAAGTGCTCCCAAGTAAGTCTCATCGGTAATTTTACAGAAAATCGGACAGAGTTTTCCCTGTTTTTGGACTATCCCAAAAATTTTCCTGTCTCAAATCAACAACCAAACATCCTAATATCATACCAAATAATTGACAACTTGTCAATTAACCAATACAAGTCTCCACCATAACTAAACCACCAACTAACCACTAGAAATACTAATTTATCTCCAACTTTGATAAATGAGAACGATACTCAACATAAGACCATAATAACAAAATAATACTCATGACACTAAAATAATGACTATGGAGCGACTCTAAGAGTTCAATAAAAAGACCATAACAATAAAAAAATCTCTGCCCACGCGAACAAGTGCGAGGCTCACCGAGAAATATCAACATGTGCGCTCTAATTAACGAAATTCTCGCCTGCGTCAACTGCTGTCTCTGTAAAAAAATTAGCGGGGAATGAGTCGCTAGCTCAGTGAGTAATAACACTTAACCACAACCGTTTTTCTTTGGGGACAAGTCAGAAACATGCTAGTATCTCAAAGAGAAAATACATAAAAATGCCCTTTCAGAAACAATAAATAATTTTTAGTCTCATCACACTTTTCTTGTAGTAAAATATAATTAACAATTCAGTAATAAGCTCGGTAACCACTGTATAATATCAGTATTCATATTTTGGGAGGTTTCAATGAACGGATCATGTAATCGGTATAACTGTGGACTTCTTCGCAAGAAGTCAAATATAACGGTAGCCCCTACTCGAGGGAAATCGGTAATAGTATGCTAGTTCTACCTTCCCACGAGAGAGGGCTATAACTGTAATCGGTAATATGTATGTACAAGGTGCACCAGGTCTAACGAACCCGCCGTTAGCTACGGGATCCTTCAAAGTCTACTCCCATTTATACTTGTCTTTGTATCCGTATATACTCATAGGAAAATATTTTAAAACAATATAGGGCATTTCGGTTCTTATCAAATCATGTAATTTCATTTCGATAACAGTAAATTCAAATAACGGTAAAACATATCTAGTGACATCAAGAATATTTAAAACAATGGTAGTCATGTCAAATAACTATTTTGGTATCATATCGAGTAAAAGACTTGTCCCACATGCAACTTAAATTAATCGGTAACATATTCATATTAAAAATCATGTGTAAATCATGCAGGTTATGAAAAAAGCAAATTGCGGAAGATTACTACTCACAGTACTCGTGCCGAAATACCAATTGCTTCACCTCAAGCAACTCGTACAAATTCCTCCAATCAATCTATAATTACATAATATCGATCTCATATTAATTGCCTCATCTAGGCTAAATCCATCACTAATTTAGAATACCCAATCATCGGGGTTCATGTTTGAGTCTTAGTTTGTGAATTTATATTTAATCATAGAACTAGTCCATAATTCTATCAATTTCAAACTATTTAGTATACTTTGTTTCTAAAAAAATTAGACCTATCAGTACCTAAACCAAACCTTTATAGCCCTACTGTCCATAGTAATAATTTATTTATTTA